CTATGATTTTGCGTCTCGACTGTGAGCAATTCTTTATTGTTGACTTTGCTTCTTCACTGGGATGTTGACTAGATTTACAAGCAAAAAGAAAATGTTCTACGATTAAACAGCAATTGAGTGCGATTTTAGCCCTTTCACAAATACTACAAACTTTATTATGTGACGACCATCTAAGTAAAGGTTTAGTAGCTGGGACTATTTTTTAAATTTAATATACTTTTTTATGTATTTAACCACTCTTTTGAAGAATTTGTATATTCAACTAAGCCTTATCTTTTAGTTTATCCACTCAATAAATGTATTTTTAAAATTAGATAATAAAAATTATCATCATTATTAAAGTTATTAGTTATTAATATTATTATTATTAATGCGGATTTTTCCATTCCTCGCTTAAGAACGAACAGTGAATGCCGCGAGATTAGCCAGTATTTAATTGGGAAATTGGTCGTGCCGATTTTAAACGACGTAGACTGAGCACATCAAATAATAGAGCTGCGAAAAGTTACGCAAGCGGATTGCTCTAAAGATTTATAGCAAAAAAATGTTTCTTAAAGGGATTCTCATAAATACTCAAAAGAGGGAATTAGTATTTCTTTCTTAATCAATTTTTCTACGTCATTTGAACGAGATCGAAGATAAATTTCATATGCAAAATAATTCTTCAAAACTTGGTCGTTCTAGACAACATATCTACCATTTGTGCAATCTTTGAAAGTTTAATGAATGTACAAGGTTCTGAAATATGGTCATGATAATCTGTGTATAAATTGTAGGTATTAGTCATAGGTCTATATTCGGCTGCGCAAATATCTGTAAGATTAGAATGCATAAGCATAGAAAAAGTGACAATTTGATTTGTGTGCTTGGAATAAAATATCATTTTTGAGTGATTAAACTTTTCACTGGGGTGATTGCATTGCATTCTGAAGCATCTATGACACAGGTAGTCACCGAGCTAAACTTGTAGTGAAATGCCTAATATAGTGGTTTACTCGGAACATACTTTAACCGACCGCCAAATTTTGCATTCTCAACTACCTTCAGATTATGCGCTCCATTTACCATTCTCGATAGAATTGGGCAGCCCCTCTCCATTTCGAGAAGGGAGCAATGCGTAAAAAAGGTACAGCTAATAAGTAGTATTATGACTAAATTAGTATCACTCATTGTTTCGAAATATATTCACTTGGAACTTGGTTATTTTTTGTACTGTAATGCCAAAAATAGGGACCTTGTTGTTAAGGATTACATTATAATTGCCAACTTGAAGATGCCTAGACTGTTTCTAAAGTAGAATCTGTACGGTGATGCATGAAATTGGTGGATGCCTCGATGAATGGTATCGTAACTGATTGAATTGTGAGAGCGTGATGTTTCTATCTGATTTTTCTGTGCTTAGATATCAAACCGGAGAACAAGCAGAAGTCTTCGGAGCACAGTATGACCAGACTCTATGAAGGAAGTGTCCAATCTGTCCTGACACTCGAAAGCAGAATATTGTGGTACAAAATGATTGATATGTTTCTCTATAAACTGGAGAATAGCATTTTGTGGAATAGTAGGCAAGCAACAGCTCTGATCCGAAAGGAAAAGTAAGGAAAATGTGCAACTCAGAAGAATAGTAACTGACTGACCTGTTTTTTTCTGGCCTCGCGTTTTCGCTGATTGGCCTCCAGAGTCTTCAATTGCCGCAGAATGCGTAGACCCCGAGCTCCGGTGAAGTCGCTCTTGGATAGTTCCAGTTGACCTTGACCGCGTTCTGTTGAGGCGTCCACAAATCTCCAATCGGCTGCGTGTTGTGTGAAGTAGGGAAATTATGAATGGGTGAATGTGAATAAATAAAGACCAGATCACCACAACAAGTGGATGTCTCAGGCTTCCAGCAAAGCAAATACTAGAAACACTTCGATAAAGTATTTCTGTATACTCTCCTCTGCAGAGGTGAGCTTAGAAGTGTTCATTTTATCGTGAATGTTATGCTTGCCTTGAAAATCTGGCAGTCTATGGCTGCCTGGTCTGAGAGGAAGAATATTTGGCTGTGAACTTTAGCTCCACGCATTTAAACAATTGTGGAGATGACAAGTCTGTAGTACTTTCTGGGTGAGAAGGAGCCTTAAAACGAAATCGAATGGCAAAAATGAATGTATCCTAAACACAATCCGATTAATATCGGTTTTACTACGCGAACAGAGTATCTACCAAAGTTTACTCGTTAACTTGTTGAGTTTAATTGCATTTCGAGTGAAAGTGTTCGGTGAAGAAATTCGAAGGTCGGTTCCACCCGAAGACAATGGCGGATTCCTCTTGACCAGCTGTCGATTGTCTTTACTTGAACATTCATTCTGACGCTGTTTCCGAGGCAATCTCATTCGATTCTGGTGAAAAGGTGCTAAACTTTCGTCTGTCACATGATGAGCATCATCTGAGCAAGGTATCGCCGTCACAACAAAATTCAAGCTTAAT